GTATTTTAAATAATAAGCAACAAATAATAATCCTAATAGCAACAACAACAACAACAATAATAATATAAGATTATCAATAAATTCATTAAATTCATTATTAAATTCACAAACACAAACATTTATCACCTCAATCCCAAACACCATATAACAGTAATAATAATTCTCCTTTGGGCAATAGTGGTGTTACTGGAAGAAAAAGATCACATTCAGATTTAACCGCATCCATATTTGAAGCAAGAACAATCATGGAAAATAATAATAACAATAATAATGATAATAATATTGATAATCCCGACAGTATGATGTTTCATCATAAATCATTATTACCACCAATACCATTTATTCCTTTATCACCAAATAAAAGTAATAATAACTATAATAGTCACGAATCACCAAAAACAACAATATTTTATAAAGACGAAGATATAATAAATATAAAAGGTAATATACACATTTCATAAAAAAATTTATTAAATATTTTTAAAAACTTTTTTATTAATAATTTTTTAATTTTAGATATAGAATTAAATAATAGTAACGATAATATATATCAAGAAATATTTTTACCAATTGATGTTTTAGATTTAATATTCTCACAATTGTCCTTTATAGATAGATGTAGTTGTGCATCAGTATGCAGTTCATGGAGAAATGTTTTATTGATGCAGCCATACCCTTTATTAGAGAATTGTTTCATTTCATTACATAATCCAACACCAATTATATCAACACCAGCAATCACACACCATTTAATTAATAATTTTAATATAACTATATCACCATGCTCCTGTCACAAATGTTATTATTCAACCAATCCACAATACAGATTCCTTTTTAATTGGATGGAGTATTTAAAACCATTTTACTCAGTACCAAAATTAAAAAAATTAGTTTTTAGAGTATTTCAAAATCCTCATGATATTCACTCTGTTTCCTCTCCATCATCTTCAAATACAAATAATAGTTGTTTAACAGCCATAAACTCAGATAAAGGTTTATTTTCACCAATTGCAGCACCAAATTCACCAATGCCAACTTTTCCAGAATTCTCGATAAGTCAACAACAACAAAATAGTAATGGATATAACATTAATAGACCAAATCACTTTTTACAACAGGGTAATTTTTTAAGTGGCTTACGTACAAGTGGTGACCAACATCCAATTTATACTAGTCAACATCAACCCATTGGATCCTCAGCATCAGCATCAAATCCAAATAATAATAATACAAGTGTTTTAGTAACAGAAGGCCAACCAGAATTATTATCGACAGATTGTGAATGTTTTGTAAAAATTGATAAAGAGTCAATGATGAACGATGTATCAAGATTTGTTTTGGATTTAGAAAAACCATTAACATTACCAATTAAAGATAGAGAATCAATTATTCCACTTAGCACCTTATTTCAATTTTTAGATAATTGTGACCATGTCGAGAGAATCAAGATGAGAGTTTGTATAGATTTGCCATATTCAAAGAGTAAAGAGCATTCAATTTTTAGATCCAATATAAAGAATGCAGAAAAAGTAACCGAATTAGGACTTTTAAATCATGACCCATCCGATACAAGTATGAGCTCTGCAATTGGAACAACAACAACAATCAACAGTTTATTATTTTCAACTATTTTCCACAATTCAAATACATTCATAAACTTAAAGAGACTTTATTTAATAACTACAAACCTCGATATAAAATTTTTAGTTTCTCTTAAAAAACATTTACCAAATCTTTCGGGTCTTCATTTGTCGGTATGGAATACCAATGTAAATTCTCTTTTTGAAATGATCACCTCAGTTTTTGGAAGTGGCTTAAAAGAGCTTACAATTCGTTTTACAACATGCCTTGGTATCAAATATACACCATTCTCTCATACCGAATACAAATTGGAAGATTCAATGGTTGAAATGTTAGTTAGAAAGTGTCCAAATTTAGAGCATTTTTCATTTGAAGGTTGGCTTTCAAATATAACTGTCAAATCTTTTCAATTACTTTCAACTTTAAAAATGAGACATCTCGTTTTAAAGAATGGCCCACTCACTCAAACTACATGCAAACCAATTTGGGCAAGAGTTAAAATAGAATCAATGGAAAGCCCATATCAATCAAATTTAATATCCGAACACGAGATTAAAAATTTTGTATCAAACCAACCATTATTAAAGGTTTTAGAAATTAATACACCACAAATCGATAAATTTACAAATTCAAAAGACTTTGAAAAAAAACAAAATCGACAGGATTTAAATAATAATTATGATAACTTTAATAATAATCATCAACAACAACAATCACCAAATATAATCAACTCACCAGATATCGAATTTGACAATTTAAATAGTTATTTAACAAATTTACAAAAACATCAAAAAAATTTAGCCCTTAGCCATAACGAAACTAGTTTATCTGATGATTTGGTAACATTCTTTATAGAATCATGCCCAAGTTTAAAATATTTAAAAATTGTAGATAGATTAAATTCACGTTCCCATATTAGAGCAAATAGAAATAAATATCATAAATTACCAAAATTTTTATCAGCTTAATAAAAAACAATCCCAACATCAACAACCACCATAAACACCCATGTAATAAATAGTATCTCAACCACCAAACAACCACCAAACAACCACCAGACACCAACACAAAATATAAATCATACAGTTAAATTTTATAAAAAATGATATATTAAAATATATACACAAAATTATATTATTTTTTAAAATTTTGGATATTATTATTTAAAAAAAATAATAGTCAAATAAAATTTAAATATTTATTTATTTATTATAGCTATTTATATTTTATCTAAAGATATTAGTATAAAATTTTAAATAGTTTATAAATTCAAAAAAAAAAAATTTCTTTTTCTTTTTTACTTATTTTTTATTATTTTTATTTTTTTTATTATCTCTATAGCTTTCTCTATTTTCGTGTTGTTTTCTATTTATATTATTACTCTTATTATTTGTGTTGCTATTATTATTATTATTTTTATTATTTATATTATTATTTGTTTGAATTTTTGGAGGGTTTTGAATAACAGGGTCTTGCTTTCTTTTAATAAAGTTTTCTTTATCCATACCAGTAACATTTAAAATAACAGATCTAATTTCATTGAGACCACTGCTTTCGAGAGCACTGGTTTGGATAATGGTGGGTAAACAGCATGATGTTTCGTTGATAATATCTTTTAGTTGATTATAGATACCTTTTAAAATTGATGGTTTGGTTTTATCTATTTTAGTTAATACAATTTGAAATGATACTTTATGTTGATCAATTAATTCAATTGCCTCAATATCATTTTTATGAATACCAATTCTTGAATCTATTAATAAAAATATTTTAAATAAACTAAAAAAAAATAAAAAGTTAATAACCCATTATCGGTTTCTTTAAAAGATATTAGTAAAATGCTTACTTTGGTGTTGTTAATAAATATTCTGAAATTGCTTCACCCCATACCGATGATTTCTTTTTTGAAACTTTTGCAAAACCATAACCTGGTAAATCGACAAGATAAATTTTTTCCCAAAGCTGATAGAAATTAATTGATTTTGTACAACCTGGTTTTTTTGAAACATAAGCCATATCACGATTTAGAATTGCATTTAATAATGAAGATTTACCTGCATTTGATTTACCAAGGAATGCAACCTGTGGATATGATTTCTTTGGGAAATCGACACCCTTAATTGCCATCGAGTCCAACGATGCACCCTTACTGAAAAATGAATTTGCAAATCTAATCTCGCTTTCACTAATTTCTCTTTTGATACCATAAGATTGTTCGATTAATGATGTTGGGATTTTGACATCCGATATATTAGTTTTACCTTGCTCTACCATTAACCTTTTAATTTGCTCCTCTAAAAATAGATCCTCTGGTGGTGAATTTTCATCAGTAAATATTGGTTTTGAAAAGTCAAGTGGACTTGCATTATTATTGTTTATTTTTTTTGGTGTTTTATTTTCCATAGATTCAATTGTGGGTCTTTGATCTATAATTAATTCACTCATCTCCTCATAATTTTCTTCTAATAATTCTTTAAATGATTTCTTTCCTTCTCTTTCTCTTTTCTTTTTTAATAAATCTTCACTTGAGAATTTAATATATGATGATTTAAAATCGTATTGCTCTTTTATTTTTTTATTTTTTTCTCCTCTTTCTTTTAATTTTAATAATGCCCCTTTTTTTTTATTTATACTAGTTGAATAATTGGTTATATTAAACCTATTTAATAAGTTTAAATTTATATTTATATTTAATAAATATTTTATATTATTATTTTTAAACATTTTATAATTATAATTTATTATTATTATTAAAATTAAATAAAAAAAAATAATAAAAAAAAAAATAAAAATTTAAATTTAAAATAAAAAAACGAAAAAAAAAAAAAAAAAAAAAAAAAATAAAAAGTATAATGCAATAATAACCAAGAAAAGATATTGTTTTTTTAAATAAATATAATATTTTTTTTATTTCGATTTTTATTACCAAAACGACTAGTCACTAGTCTTGATTTAATAATTTTAAAAAAAATTTTATGGTGTTAGTTTGGGTGGGGTTGGGAGTTGAATATTTGTTATAAATATGTGGTGTGGGGTTTGATTTGTGTGGTGGTTTGGTTTGGTTTGGTTTTGAAGAAAAATTTTGGGTTTTAATTTCCAGTGTTTGACCATGTTTCTTTATTTTCTTTTATTCTTGTAACAAAATCTTCTAACGATGGTAATAAAACTTGTAGTGATTGATAGGAAGGTAATAAGAACTTTTCAATGAATGATACCTGAGTTAAATGTAAAACAACTTTTTCACGTTCCATAAATGGTGTAACAGGAATGTTATTAAGTTTTTCTAAATCGCTCTAAATAAAATAAAAATTAAAAAAAATATCAGTATAAAAACTATTAAAATTTTATAAAACCAATTTAATATTTACTTGATTAAAAAACTCTTGCATTAATGCGTTTGCCCATTTATTTGAAATATCGAATGATCTTAATTCGTTTGAAATATCTGCTGATTTTAGTAACATAATTAATAATAAATCACGGTGTTCTGTATTTTCCCAATTAAAGTTTAGTATAGCTTCATCAAATTGAGATTTGTAAGAAAAGTGGTTCTCCATATCAGTAGCCAAAATCAATATTTTTACTTTGTTCAAAAAGATTTCTTTTTCCTCTTCAGATAGTGTTTCCATTAACTTTGAACCTACATCGCTTGATAGAATTTTTAAACATATTGAAAGATGATGATTCTCTAAAACTGATTTATTATCATATAACACTGCTATTGGACTTTTAATATTAATTTGAAATTTATTACTTAATGCTGGATGGTCCAAATCATGACAAATTGATGCAATTATAATTGATAATTTTTCCTATTAATTAATTAAAAAATAAAATTAATAAATAAATAAAATAAAAACCTAAATGTTATATAATTTAGTTTACTTACGATTGGTGTTAAAATATTTAAAAGATTTGCTTTAATAAAAATTAAAAATACGGTTTGGGTCACAGCAATTGCATGATTAAAAGAATGAAATGGGTTTTCTCTATAGGAACATGAAACAATTTCTAAAAATTCTGTGACATCAGTAAGATTTAGATCCTTAACCAAACCAGATGCTTCAAAAATAGCTTTGCCATTCTCTATTAATAATTGTTTATTCTTTGACCATGATGAAAAATTAATTGAAAATATATCATTTTCTTCAGTTGCGCCATTTATATTGTTTTTATTTATATTATTTTCATCATCTTCATCTTGTTGATTATTACTATTATCACCATTACTGTCATTATCTTCATTGTTGCTATTGTTATCACTGTGGTTTTCACTATTACTATTTCCATTATTGCTGTCATTTATACTTCTACTATTTTCTGAATAGTCTTTATCATTTACACTACTGTTACCATTTTTTTCATTTGAAATTGAACTATTGTTACTATTTAAACTATGTACATTATGATTAATATTAGCATTATCATTATTTTTTATATTAATTGTTGTTGTTGTTGTTGTTGCGGAATCTTGGTTACTACTTCCATCAGCTGTTATTGTTTCATTATATTTGCTACTGGTTGATTGTTGTGATGGCGATGTTTGGTCTGTGGTGCTCCTAAAATTATTGGAATATCTTATAACACCTTCGAAACAAGATCTGATTAATTCCATTTTATTTAAAACTTTACTATTTGTTTTTTGGGGTGATCTACTTTTCTCCTATATTATATATATTTTATTATATATAATATAGTTTTTGGTAGCGTTTTTTTTTCCTTTTCTTTTTTTTCTTAAATAATTTTAATGGTATTTTTACTTAAAAATACGATTTGCTATTATATATATAAATATAAATAAAAATAAACACAATTGTTCTATTGTTTAGTTTTAAAAAAAATAAAAAAAAATTAAAAAATAAAAAATAAAAAATAAAATATTTTTTAAAAAAAATTTTAAAAAATTTTATAAAATAAAATAAAAAAAAAAAATAAAAAAAATAAAATAAAAAAAATGTTAATATTTATATTTATTGTAGTACTATTATTTATTTTATCTGTTAATTTAATATATCTATATGTAAATACTGATGATACGATATGATGTGTATAAAAATAAAAAATAAAATAAAAAAAAATAAAAAAAAGATATCAATAAAAAAATATTAAAATAAAAATAAAAATAAAATTAAAAAAAAATAAAATAAAATAAAATAAAAATAAGTTATAATCATCAAGTTGTGTGTGGTTGTTGTGTATAAGTGGTAATTAGAGCGAGTGAGTGGGGTGTGTATTTTTTTAGTTTATTATAATAATAAAATAAATTTTTAAAATTAAAAATTGGAAAAAAAAATTTGGGAAGTGTGGGTTTATTGGAGGTAGGTGAGTGATAAATGAGATCGTGATTAATTATATTTTTCTAATTGGGCAGCTTTGATAATAATATGAGTATGAGATGAAATATGATATATAATATTTATATATATATATAAAAAAACAAAAACTTTATTTTTAAATAATTACATTTACCAACTTTAATATAATGTATTTTGCCTACTATATTACTATTATTTTTACTATTTGTTTCCGTTATTTTGATTAAATACTTAATATTTTAAATATTTATTAAAATTTTAATTTTAAAAAAAAAAAATAAAAAAATAAAAAAATAAAAAGATTTCTTTTTTTGATTTATTAAAGTTTTGAAAAATAAAAATAAAAATATAAAAATATAAAATTATAAAAAGATCAACTTAAAGTAAATTATAATATAATAAAATAAATATAATATAATATAATATAATTTATAATATATATATATAAAATAAAAAAAATAAAAAACTAAAAAATTTAAAAAAAATAAAATAAAAAATAAAAAACTTTTTTTTTAATTTTTAAAAAAAAAGTATCTTTAACGGTTATCTTTTTTAATAAATTAAATAATAAAATAGTGGGTGGCATGGTTGTTAGCTTCTCTATTTCTTCATTTCAAATACATCCAATTTGCACCATTTGGTTTGCTCATGTGAACTTGACCAAATATAACAATTACACTTGTATTCATACTATATATAAATGGAAAAAAAAAAAATTACTAATAGTATGAGAACATATGTACTAAATATTCAAATATGGAATTTTTTTTTAGATTTCAAAATTACTTTTAAAGGATAAATCTTTTAATTATTTTTTTTTTTTGCCAATTAAATATTATATCATGATACATGTAATATCTCATTGAGTATTAATTATATTGCCTTATAAATTTATAATTATAATAATTACATTAATTATAAAAAAAAAAAAAAAAAAAGTTTGCAGATTTGGGAATGTGATTTTTTAAAAAATATCTCATTTTTTTGTTTAAAATAAAAATATAGCTATTAAATAGTTCATAACATATCCTTATTATAATGATTTCTTTTATTTTTTTTTTTTTTATTTTTTTTATTTCTTGTTTTTTTTTAGTATACTCTTTTATCTCCTTAAAAGATATATTGATTGTTTAATTAATTAAAAAAAATATAAAAAAAAAACAAAAACAAAAAAAAAAAATCAAACCAAACCAAATTCAAATATTTATATTGATTAATAATAAAAATTTATTGTAATTATTTATGGTTAAATTATTATAAATAAATTTAAAAATAAAAAAATGGAGGTGTGGGTTTTTTTTGATTTTAGAAATAAAACAAAGTTATTTTATTTTTACTATTAACTCATCAAACAGACCCTTCTAATTAAAATTTCAAATAAAAGTATAAACTGATAAATAATAGTAGTGGTGGGTTATCACCATTTATATTTTAAACTGAAAAAAAAAGAAAAAAAATTAAAATAAATAAAAAAAAAATCTTTTTTAGATTCAAATCTTATTTTCAAAAAAAAATTGGGTTTATTTTTTATTATTTTTTTTTTTTTTTTTTTTTTTTTTAATTATTATAAAATTTTTTCAAAAAAAAATAAAATAAAAAATTTTTTATATAATTTTTTTTTTTTTAATTCATTCTGTATAATATACATTTTTTTTTATTATTTATTTTCCCTATTTATATTTATATATTTAATAGTTTATAAAAAAAATCTTAAATTTTTTTTGTAAATTTGTAACATTTAAAAAAACTAAACACCACCAAATAAATTAATATTTATTTTTGTAAAACATATATAATATAAAATGTCAGAAGAAACTGCCACCGTATCTGGTAATGATAAACAATTATTAAATAAAGCTTGGGAAATCACCCAAAAAAAAGTAATTATTTAATATTTTTAAAATTCAATTTTTATAAAATAAATATTAATATATTTTTTTTAATTGTATCTAAAAGACTTTTACTGCTTGGTGTAATTCACACTTACGTAAACTTGGTTCAAATATTGAACAAATCGACTCAGATTTCACTGATGGTATTAAATTAGCTCAATTATTAGAAGTTATTTCTAATGATCCAGTTTTCAAAGTAAATAAAACACCAAAATTAAGAATTCACTCAATTCAAAATGTTGGTCTTTGTTTAAAACACATCGAAGCCCATGGTGTTAAACTCATTGGTATTGGTGCTGAAGAGTTAGTCGATAAGAATCTTAAAATGACTTTAGGTATGATTTGGACCATTATTCTTCGTTTTGCCATTCAAGATATTTCAATTGAAGAATTATCAGCCAAAGAAGCTCTTTTACTTTGGTGCCAAAGAAAAACTGAAGGTTATGAACGTGTTAAAGTTGGTAATTTCCATACCTCCTTCCAAGATGGTCTTGCTTTCTGTGCTTTAATCCACAAACATCGTCCAGATTTAATCGATTACGATTCATTAAACAAAGATGACAAAGCTGGTAACTTACAATTAGCTTTCGATATTGCCGAAAAAGAATTAGATATTCCAAAGATGCTTGATGTCTCTGATATGTTAGATGTTCCAAAACCAGATGAACGTTCAGTTATGACCTACGTTGCTCAATACTACCATCACTTCTCTGCCTCAAGAAAAGCTGAAACTGCTGGTAAACAAGTCGGTAAAGTTTTAGATACCTTTATGTTACTCGAACAAACCAAATCTGATTATGTCAAGAGAGCCACCGAATTAGTCGAATGGATCAACGCTAAAGTTCAACACCTCGAAGGTCGTGATTTCGGTGAATCAATCGAATCAGTTCAACAACACATTGCTTCACTCAAAGCCTACAAGAATGGTGAAAAACCACCAAAGGGTCAAGAAGTTCTCGAATTAGAAGCCATCTTCAACTCATTACAAACTAAATTACGTTTAATTAAACGTGAACCATTCGTTCCACCACAAGGTTTATCACCATCAGAAATCGATCAATTATGGACACATTTAGATAAAACTGAACAAGAACACCAAGATGCTCTTAGAAACGAACTCAAACGTCAAAAGAAAATCGCTGTTCTCTTACAAAAATACAACCGTATTCTTAAGAAATTAGAAAACTGGTCAAACTCCAAATCATCATACTTATCATCAACTGATTTCGGTGATTCAATCACTGCTGTTCAAGCCAAATTAAAGAATTTAGAAGCTTTTGACGGTGAATACCAATCATTAGAAGCTCAATCAACTAGTGATCTCGATAGCATTCTTGCTCAATTAGCTGAACTTAACTACAGCGGTGTTGGCCAATTAACTGAACGTAAAGATACCTTCTTCAATGGTCAATGGCAAGGTGTTAAACAATCTTCAGAAACTTATAAGAACTCACTTTTAGCTGAATTAGAAAAACTTCAAAAGATCGAAGATTCATTAGTCGAATTTGCTAAACGTGCTGCTCAATTAAACGTCTGGATTGAATCTGCTGATGATACCGTCTTTGACCCAATCAGTGTCGACTCTATCGATGCTGTTAATGAAACCCAAGCCAAATTCGATGCTTTCCTCCAAGATCAAGCCAACCAATTTGCTGAATTAGAAGCTCTTGCTCAATTAACTCAACAACTCCGTGATTTAGGTCGTTCAGAAAACGATTACTCTGTCATTTCATATGATGATCTTTCAGCCAAATGGAACTCATTATTAGCTGGTATTGAACAACGTAAAGCTGAACTTGCCACTGAACTTTCAACTCAAACCAACAATGATGCTTTATGCCAAGCCTTTGCTGAAAAAGCTAATGTTGTCAGTGAATACGTTTCAGAAAACCTCGAAAAACTTTCACAAAATGCTTCAGATCCACAAGAACAATTAAATAACATTCGTGCCATCATTGCCGATCAATCAGAAAAGAAATCACTCTTAGACGATTTAATCGCTACTGCCACCCAATTAGAAGAAGCTCAAGTCACTGAAAACAAACACACTCAACACACTTTAGACTCTGTTAAATTAAAATGGGAAAAACTCACCACCGCCGCCAAAAAACAAGAACAAGTCTTTGAAGGTGAAATCCTTTCAAAACAAGTTTCAGGTGTATCAGCTGAAGAATTATCTGAATTCAAAGCTTGTTATTCACACTTTGATAAAGATAATGATAACAAATTAAACCGTCTCGAATTTGGTTCATGCCTCAAATCACTCGGTGAAGATTTAACTGAAGATCAATTATCAGCTGTCATCACTAAAATTGATGCTGATAACTCTGGTTTCATCTCATTCGAAGAATTTGTTGAATACATGGTCAGCTCACGTAAAGGTTCAGATAATGCAGAATCAATTAAAGCTGCTTTCAAAGTTATGGCTGAAGATAAAGACTTCATCACTGAAGCTCAAATCCGTCAATCAATTTCAGATGCTAAACAAGTTGAATATTTATTAGCCAATATGCCACGTACCGAACAAGGTTTCGATTACAACTCATTTGCTGAAACTTTATACAAATAAACAATATATTTATAAAAATGGTATATAGTAATAAAAAAAAATAAAAAAAATTTTAGATATAAAAAAAAAAAAAAAAAAAAAAAAAAAAAAAAAACATTTTTTCTTATTATTTTATTTATAACTAGAATTTAGGATCGTCATTAATACAATTCATAATGATTTAATATAAAAATAGAAATTAACTTACTTGTTTAATTTTATTTTAATTTTTTATAAATTTTTTTATTTTATTAATTGGGGGTAGCTATTTTTTTTAAACACACTACATAACAAGAAAACAAATAGAATAACCCCATTTTTTATAGTGGTTATATAAGGTTATATAATATAAAAATACATAAAACATAGATATATAAATGTGTTTATTGTTAAAGTTGTAGCGAAAAAAAGTAGTAGTTTTAAAAAGTAAATATTAACATTATGCATTGTTTAAATTGCATCATAAAACATCATACAGTATCATTAATCATCATAAAATAAAAAAAATGTTGGAAGGTAATATTGACTTATATTTTTAAATTTGGATTCATTAATTTAGTTGAAGATGGTATTGTCATAGATTTCATCCAGGTTATATGTAGAATTTTTATAACCAGGACAGGAGAATATTTGTAAACAAAAGCATTATTCAAGTTATTCAAATATATTTAATAATTCAAGGTGTGAAAAAACAATCTATATCAGATAGCTTCATTAGGTTAGTGATTTATAAATAAAATTTTTTTAATTTTTATTTTTTTGTTGTTAAGTGATAATTTAAACGTTGCATTATTTTTAGAATATCATTTTCTTTAAAAAGTAATTGTATTTTATATTTACAATTTCATATAATTTTATTTAAATTTAATATTTTCATTTTTTTTTTAAAGAAATACATATTTAAAAAAAAACTATTTAAAGTCAAATATTTTGTCTTTTTTTAAATATCAATTCAAACAAACAAACAAATTAACTTACTAATTAAATTTAATTTCTAAAAAAACTAAAATGACAATTTTAAGTAAGTATTTTTATAATTTAAAAAAAAATTTATAAAAATAAATTAATCAATTTTTTATATTTTTTTCAGATTCCATCACTTCATTCAATAAAGTTTCAAAATCATCATCAGTTGTTGCCTCCGGTAGCTCAAACAATCAACAATCCAATAATTCTTCAGCTTCTCTATTTGGCCATGGTATTGCTGGTGCAGGTGGTCAAAGAGGTGGCACAGTCTATTACAACAAAACCTCAACCTCATCATCTGAAACTTACTATGCTAGTGGCCAAGAATCAGGTGGTTTTGGTTTCCTTCATTAAATAATGAATGGTAAACAAAAAAGTGATATTACTTTATGCATCTGTAAAAATTTATTAAATAAAAATCTTAAATATATATCATTATAAATTACATTAAAGTTTAATATAGTATTTGTTTATTTTATAATAATATCTATAATATCGTATCTTGCATTGAGATTCTATTGTTAAAAGTAAAAAAAAAAATTAAATTAATTTTTTATTTCTATATATATATTTATATAAAATCTTATTTTTAATCTCAAATTTTACATTTAATATATATTGTTATTTTTCATTCTCCATTTTAATTTTATTTTTTTACTCCATTTAATATGCAGTAAAGTAAATATACTGAAACTTAATAACGAATGGATCAAAACAATTTGATATACCAACCACACATTATGACCCCTTTTTTATATTTTTTAATTTAATTTTATTTTTTAAAAATTATTTTTATCTCTTTTTTCCTTTTAGATAGGGTTAATTTATTTAAAAAAATGATGTTTTATGATGCAATTCAGTAGAGTTAATAATAAATTAAAATTATTTTAAATTTTTATAATAAAAGTTATTTATTAAAAAAAGAATTGCCTTATAAAGATGGAATATTGGTATTTAATACTTCTTTAAATAGATGTTTTAGTGTGTTGGTCTTTACAAATGATAGTTTTTTGTTAAAGATTTCATGGCGATTATCCAAAAAATTAGAATAAATAATAACGGTATATCAATTTGTAACTATTATTAGTTTTATTTGAAAATAATTACAATTCCTTATTTGGAAAATTTGTATTTATTCTATTCAATTCTTTTTTTATTTAGTTTTTTTTTTTTAATTTTAAAAATGAAAAAAAAAAATATTTAAGAAATGAAAAAAAATTTTATTATTCATCAAATTAACAAAAAAAAATAAACAATAAATTAAAAAAGAAATGTCAATCTTAAGTAAGTAAAAAGTTTAGTTTCATTTATTGGTTTATTTCATTATTTGTATTAATAAATTATTTTAAATATATAAATTTTAGAATCCATCACTTCACTCGGTAATGTTTCAAAATCATCATCAGTTGTCGCATCCGGTGGCTCAATTGGTCAACAATCAAACAATTCAGTAGCACACTTTGGCCATGGTATTGCTGGTGCTGGTGGAAAACAAAATGGTACTGTTTATTATAACAAGACCAATACATCAACATCTGAAACTTATTATACAAGTGGCCAACAATCTGGTGGCTATGGTTATGCCTTCTAAAAACATTAAAATAATTTATTTTAATCAATTTAATTGGTTTTAAATTTTAATTATGTAAATTCAAAAATAGTACTATTAATAAATAAAAATTTAAAAAACAAAAATTTTTATTATCTTAAAAATATTATTTTTTTTTTTCTTATTTTTTAATTTAGATGTAATAAATCTTTGGTCTTTATTTAATAAATATATTTTTTAAAATGGATTGACTATAGGATTAATTTTTATAACAATTTTATTTTTTACAACTTTTTTAATTTTCCATATCTATTTTAATCTTTTTATCAGATGGAAATTTTGTCATCCTTAAATCCCTATTTCTTTTTTTTATAATTTCTAAATTTTTTTTAAAATATTTTGAAATTTTTTCCAAAAAAAAAAACATTATTTTTATCTTTAATTTTAAAAAAATGGACTATAAAAATTGAAATAATTATTTTTATTTATCTTATTCCATTTTATTATAAATTTTACTATTTTAGTGTTTTTTTTTTTGCTCTTGAAAAAACGAACTAATTATTTTTTTTTTTTTTTAATTTTTTTTTTTTTTTTTTTAAAAATAATTTTTAATTTATAAAATTTTTTAAATTTTTTATTTTTCAAATTAATTGCAGTATTAATACTAAAAGAAAAAATAATAATATATTTATTTATAGAATTGCTTTTATGTATCCGATAAAAAATATTATATGCCAATAAAAATTATTATATACGAATAAAAATAATAATAATAATAACAACAATAATAACTTTACAACTCATTGTTTATTTAATAGATAATAGATAATAGATAATAAATAATAAATAATAAATAATTAATTAAATAATGAAAAAAAAATTTGTTGGTATAATAATTATTATTATATTTATATTTTTCTTTTCAATCAATAGCCATAAATTAAAGGTTATAAATGGCACCAACGGAGGTGGGCTATCAGAGGATGGCAGTTCACATTTATTCCAATATGGGGAAGATATACAGTTTTATTACAATTATATAACACCATATGACAACCCACAGCAGTTATACTCTTTAGAAAAATTACAACTTTGCCTAACGGATGGAAATCAAATTATAGGTCAACATAAAAAACAACTATCGTTTATACTATCATTTTTAGATAAGCAACTAATTGATAGCTCGATACCAATAATGTTTGCAAGTATGTTACTATTAGTAACTATAAGCAAAATAATAATCGAGAATATACTAACCATTTTTAATATTATTAGAAAATTTTAATGAAACTTTAATATGCAATAATAAAATTACAAAAACAAATAAAAAGGTTATATTGGACTCAATTAAACAGGACTATATATTAAAGGTTTATATCGATAATATTCCATCATTCCTTAAAATTGGTAGAGTAATTAATGAGTGCAAATATAGTAACCATCATGATCCTAAAACCGCCACAGATTGTAAAAAGAGTTATTATATAAATACATATTATAAAATATCACTACATTATAATAAAAATAGAGTAGGTGGTTATAAAGTATAAAATTATTTTCTACAATAAAAATATTAACACTATTTTGTTTTTTTATAGTTAATTAATGTTGATATAAATCCATTAAAACCAGTTTTAATTGATGAAAATGATGATAAAGATATCAATTTTAAATTTACTTATAGCATCGAATGGTACACAACCGAAGAATCATCAAATTCAAGACTAACAAGACACGCCTCACAAATTTCACTATATACAATGATCATTTCAATTGTAAATTCAGCAGTCATTTCAATTATATGGATATTAATACTGGGTTATATATATTATGAATTTAATAAAAATAGATTTAATGCAATGAAAACTCGTATTTATAATAGTGGTAATAGTAATAATAATAACAATAATAATACAGCTAATAATAACGAAGTTACTTATGATTATAACAATGACGAATATGACCATAATGATATAGAATCTTCAATTGGTAATAACTCAGAACAAAAACCTTACCGTCAGCACCAAGCCTCTTCACCAACATCAATATCGAAATACACCACAATTACAGATAAAAAATATAATAATATGGGATTTGGGCCAAAAATATCAAAATATAATTTAATAAAACCTATCAAATATTCAGATTTATTTATTTCTCTAATTAGCTTGGGCGTCCAATTATTTTCAATTTTTATATTGGCTATAATATTACTTGTATGGAAATCGAAAACACTATCAAGTAAAACTTTATTAGACTCGGCTATAATACTTTATCCCATCTCTTCGATCCTTGGTGGCTATGTTTCTAGTTTTATGTTTTTAAATAGTAGTTCGAGCAGCGGCAGTAATAACAATAACGACACAATTAGTAATAATAGCAGTAGTAATATCTTTAGCAATTCAACCGAGAATTGGATTAAGACATGTATTTATTCAAGTTACTTTATACCAACAGTCGTTTCAACAATTATTATATTCACAAAGATTGTTATTAGCTTTTCAAGCGATTTCGATAGCGTCAATGGTTTGTCAATTGTAGCTTGGGGAAAACTATCAACAGCAATAATAACACTTTTTTTCTTAGGATCACCTTTATCAATGCTATCGTTTTATTTAAATATTAGAAAAAGCAAAAAGAATAACAATAACAATAATGATAGTTTATCAAGCTCCTCACCATTGTTTTTAGAATTAATAATTAGCATTTCAAATGCAACATCATTTTCAACACAAACTTTTTTAAACAATGCTGTAAAGAGATATTCATTTTTCTATAATAACTATCTATTGGTTTTGATCTGTGGTATTTTCCCATTTTCAATTATTTACACATTTGGTCAATCAGTGATGAAGTATCTATTCACCAGGGGTTATTTGGTTATCAACAGATGGTATTCGACCGAACTACTAGCATTCTTTTTCGTGTTACTTATTTGTAATATTTTATTCTCATTCATAATAATCAACTATGGAAAGGATCATCAGTGGCAATGGTGGTCATTCTTTTCATCCTTTTCCATCTCGATCTATATAATGGCCCACTTCTTATTGTACCGTTATCAAGAAACCCAATTCACTGGATTCATTCAAATCTATTTCTTCTATCTTTATAGTATAATAATATCATCATTATTTGGTGTAATGTGTGGTACCATCGGTTATTTAACTTCAAATTATTATATTGGTAAATTGTTTTTAAATAAATAGTAAAATAATTTTTGTATATAGGTTTTATTTATTTATTTTAAATTAACACATTCATTTTTTATATTTAATTAAAATAATAAAAAAATAATAATAATAATAATAAAAATAAAAGAAAAATCCAAAAAAAGTAATATTTTTATTTATTTTATTGTTTATTAAACAAACGACTTTTTCTGACTCTTTAATAATTTAAGTCTTACTTGTATCTGAAAAAAAAAAAAAAAAAAAAAAAAAAAAAAAAAAAAAAAAAGTTTTTAAAATTTTTCCGATTTTATCCCTTGGGAAACATTTTAAATTTTAAATTTTAAATAAAAAATTTTATTATTTAGGGGGGGATATTTTATTTTAAAAAAAATTCCCCGTTTTTTTAATTTTTTTTTAATTTTAATTTTAAAAAACCCCCGTTGCGAAAAATTTAATTAAAAAAAGACCCCTTAGAAAATTTTAAAAAAAAAAAAATTAAAATTTTTAATTTAAAATATTTGTTAGTATTATTATTTTTTTTTTGTATATTTTTATTTGTATATATATATAATATTTATTCATTTAGGTTAAAAATCACACACAAGTTGTAAAGTGAAATGAATGTTATAAATAAATATTTAATTTCAACTAGATCATATTTGTCAACTGGTATACTATTTATATTGCTAACATCATCATCTATAGCGTACAGTCAAACCAAAACATTAGATTTAAAGTTTAGTTTTTTTTGTTTTACAATTATATTTCAAAATTTTTGTTTTGCATACTTGTTAAATTCATATTTAGAGTACTTTATATATGGATCAGAGACAACCAAACGAGAATTAGATTCAACACTATTTAGACATATATCAAAAAAACAGCTTCGAGATTTTATAAAGTTTCCATTAATATGTAATGGTATATTACTAATGGTAACTTTTAAATGGAAGGGATCTGATGCTTTTTTCACCATTCTAATATTGGATTTACTTCAAATACTGGGTGTTTGTTTATACACTCCTTTAAAATACTATGCATTGGGCCACATTATATTCAGCTTGGTTCATTATATAAACATTTGGATTTTTTATTATGCAAATACCAAAAGCTTACCTATAGACCTCAGCTTCACATCCCCAAACCCTTTCATATACTATAGCTTTTATTTCCTACCGGTTATCCTCCAATCCATTCATGCAAACTATCACAGAGATATAGAAATTGATAAAAAACACGGTGTAGTTACAATTGCAATTATATTAGGGAAGAATTTTTCATTATACTATTATTATTTGTTATATATTGGGTAATTATAATTACTAATAATAATAATAATAAACACAATAAGTACTAATTTTATTTAAATTTTAGAGGTTTATTATATCTAGTTTTCTTAATGTTAAAATTTAATAATTTATTTTTTTTATTACCATTCGCAACAATTCCTTTAATGAATAATATGTACAGTAGGGTTAAAAATGGTGATTATAATTTATTAAATGTTCAAACTACAAAAACTCATTTCTTTTCTTTATTTTTATTTTCAATAGCCATATTATTAGTCGGTAAAAAATAAATAAAAACTATAAATAAATAAATAAAAATATTTAATTTATATTTACTAAATAAAGAAAATCAAATAGTTATTTTCAAGTGGATGTTTTATAAAAATTAAACCTTTTTTTTTTTTTTATTTTATTTTGATTAATTTTTTTTTTATTTATTTTTTTAATTTTTTTTTATTTTTAAAAATAAAATATATTTTTTTTCTTTAATTTTTTTTTTTTTTTTTTTAATTTTATTTTTCTGATGATCAAGCATTATTGGTTATTATTTTAGATTTGTTTCATTTATTAATTAAACCCCAAACATTAATAAAATTATCAAATCATGTCATCAGATATAAATAATGATCCATATGTTCAACATCATCAGTTATATTCCCAACAACAAAACCAACACCAACATGTAGATAGTAATAATAATCATAATAACAATAATCATGGTCACAGCCACAGTCACCATAGAACCCAAATAGGCCATGCACAACCATATTATTCTACTTATAATCAACTAAATAATAGTGGCGGCATGAGTCCTCCATCTTCACAACAATATAATAGTAACCAATACAATAACAATTCATATAATAATAACAACTATAATAATAATAATAATAACAATAACAATAACAATAATAATGGATATTTTAGTATGGATAAGAATAGTAGTAGCGGTATAACTATTAATCATTTAATTCAAAATTTAAATAGAGATAATGATGCAAAAAAATTGGCTGGATGGATTTCTGTAATGTTATTATTTACAATTTATGAAATATTTTATGGTGCTTATTTAGAGAGTTTAGGTTTAGTTAGTGATGGTTTTCACGCTTTATTCGATTGTATTGGTTTATTTATTGCGCTACTCAGTATGTTGGTTGGTAAAAAAGGAAGCAACTCAGATTATACTTATGGTTACGATCGTTGGGAAGTTTTAGGTACTTTTTCAAATGGTGCTTTCCTTATTTTTGTTTCTTTCTTTTTATTTTTAGAATCTGTTGAAAGATTATTAGAACCACCACATATTCATAAGTAAGTTTATCATTACCGTAAAGATAGTAATAGTAAAATAATAATAATAATAATAATAATAATAATAACAATAACAATAACAATAATAATAACAATAATAATATCAATAAAAATAAACTAACCATTTTTTCATTTTATACTATTTAGTCATGGTAGAGTTATTTCTTTAGCAACTATCAGTTTATTAATTAATATTATTGGTTTCATTTTTTTCAAACAAAAGAAAAACGAAAGAAAATCATCAATTCGTAATGAAAATTTATTAACCATTTCACAACACATTCTTATTGATAGCTGTACAAGTTTAGGTGTTATTCTTTCATCAATTGTTGGTCAGATTTCGTATGTTAAAAGAAAAAAAAAAGGATTTATAATTATATTTTTAGAGAATAAACACTAATTTATTTATTTTTTTTTATAGTGGTTTAGAAATTTCAGATTCATTAGTTTCAATTATTATTGCTTGTATTATCGTTTATAATGCCGTACCAATCTGTGTAAAAACATCAGGTATTTTATTACAAAAAACACCAGAATCATTAATTTTAAATATTGGAAATGCCTTAAAAGATGTAGCCGTTATGAATGGTGTTTTAGAAATCAAAGAAAAACATTTTTGGTCACATTCAATTGGTAATAATGTTGGTACCCTCCAAATTTCAATTAAAAAGAGCTGTGATGAATCATTTTTACTCCAATCAATAAGAAACAGATTATCTTTTGTTCAAGATTTAACTATTCAATTAGATAAAGATAATGGTGATAAACATCATCATCATCACGATGATGAACAAAAACCCAATAAACATGAACATAATCATCACCATGACCACGATCACCACGATCATGACCACGATCACCATGACCATCATCATGACCACGATCATCATCACGATCACGATCACGACCACCATGACCACCATGACCACCATGACCATAACCAACAAAATAATGAATCAATTCCACTCTACCAAGTCCAACAAACCCCATCTACTATTACATCACCAATAATAAATGAACAATTTAACTCATCAACAAATTATGATGGATACAATGAAAAAACCCCAGTACCTTTATATGGACAAAGTGAACCAGAAAATATGAGTGATGAAGATGATAATGATCCATATCACCATCATTCACATCAAAAAAATCAACATCATGGTCATTCACATGGTAATGACGATCATCATGGACACGCTCATAATAACTAAATAAAAATAAAATTTAATAATTAATATTTATTTATATTACTTTTCCAACAATAAATATTTTTAAAAAGTGTAAAATAAAAAAAAAAGAGATAAAAAATAAAGGAAAAAGTTGTTTTTTTTTTTTTTTTTTAATTTTTTTTTTATATTTTTTTTTTATGTTTTATTATTGTTTACATTTTTAAATATTTTTTTAAAAAACTATTATTATATTATTATTATTTAAAAAAGAGAATCTATTGTTGTTTGCAATTTGGATCTTGTGGGACGGCTGGTTTACCTTTAGCAGATGGTTTTCTAATGACTTGATCTTCATCATCATCTTCATCTTCTTCTTCATCAAAATCTTCACCACCAAATTCGAAATCATCGTAATTATCACCTTCTTGATCATCAGCACGACCAAGGAAAAATTCGACAGCATTTGGAATGATAATATCCTTTAATTTAGCAATGATTTGGAATTGCATGTACATTCTTGGGTCATCTTCTTCTTCATCTTCAATGGCTTCATCATCTTCAGCAACAGCTCCGAGGAATGAACCAAAGAAACATGGGACAGATTCACTGACCATTTTAGTGGTAGCAGTTGAAGCTTTACCTTTACCTCTGCCTTTTACTTGTTTCTTAACAACTTTAGAGGTGAAGTTTTTACCTTCTTTCCATTCGATTGGGGTTGAATCAATGCTTTGGAGTTCATCTTCTTGAATGTGAACAGTTTTAGAGATAACGGTATTGGTAAAGAATGGATTTTCACTAAAGTGGAAATCGATGCTGTAGTCGCTATTATCACCAACTTGGGTGATTTTAACGTCAACTAAATGTGAAAGGGCTTCTTCATCAACAGTTTCGATAATTTCACCAATTTCGGTGTTCTTTAAAACGATGGTCCAGAAATTTGGAATACCTTTAACTTCTGGTTTTGAGGTAAGATTATCAACAGTGATTGGTTCTTTAGCACCTTTTTCTTCTTCTGTTGGTTCAACGCTACCTTTGATAATTTCACCTCTCTTGTCAGCAAGTGGTTGGAATTTAAGTAAATATTTCTTTTCAATTTCGAGGATTTCTTTTTCCATTTGTTCACTTAATTCTTCGTGAGCTTCCTAAAAAAAAAAAAATAATAAAAAATAAAATTAATCAATATTATTTTATAATGCGCTCTTGAATATTATTAAATCTAACTTACTTGTAATTTAAGTAAGGCATTAACTCTACCTAAAATTTGAGTTGAGGTGATACCTTTAGTATCCATAGCTTCTTCCATTTCAACTTCTATTTAATAAAAAAATAAAATAATAATAATATTAGTAACCAATTACTTTGCAATCTTATTTTATTTTTCTATATAAATAATACGTACGATTGCTCATTGTATATATATATGTGTTTGTTAAGCGGGTTGATTTTAACGAAAATAAAAAAAAAAAAAAAATTTAATAAAATTTTAAAAAAAAAAAAAAAATTAAAAAAAAATAAAATAAAATTAAAATAAAAAAAAAATATTTTTTAAAAAAAACGAAATAACTTTTTTTAAAAACGAATTTTTTTAGAATATATATAAATCTTTATTTGAATTTATTTAATATTGTTTGGTCTAAAAATAGTTTATATATTGACTTTGTTAACATAAAACATTTGATTTCTTTTCTTATTTGAAACATGTTTGATAATCTTTGTCCTTTATTCTATTTACTCATTTTTTTTAGTTGATATCTTAATTTGGGATATGTTTTCTGTATCAATGAACTATTTTCATGTTTTATTATTTTTATATTAATTTTGCCTATTAATGCATTGAATATTGAGATTTTTTAATAAATTTAAATTTGTTATTATTTATGGAAAGGTTTACATTTTAATAAAATATTTTTTATTATATTTATCCTGTGTGAATATGTAAATTCGATTAAAATGGTAAAATATATTTGAAAATCAAATTAAAAAAAAAAATAAAAAAAAAAATAAAATTTTTTTTAAAAATTAAAATTTTTTTTTTTTTTTTTTAATAATTGCAAAATTTTATTTTTCTTTCATTTCATTTTTTATCATATTGTTTTATCATATTGTTTATATCTTAAATTAAACAATATAGTTTGATTCCTATTTTATTTGTATTAAATTAAAAGTAATCAATATTTTTGTATATTAATCATATTTATGTTGAGTTTGTTTTTTAAATAATTTTTTTTTTTTATATTTTTTTTTTTATTTATTTTTTGTATAATAAAAAAATAAACATATAGTATAATAATGGATAATCCAAATCAGCCAGCAACACCAACACTAACAACACAGCAGTTACCACAACAACCGCAACCAATTATTAAGACTAGTTTGAATGGATCAAAATTGGAATTTAACGAAGTTATATTAAAAGAAACTTATGTACTTAGAAATTTTAAATTAACTAATATAGTAGATTATCCAGTTCAAGTTAAACTTAAATCAGATTTACCACAAATTGCATTTCAATTAAATAATGAAAATATGCAAGATGATTCTGACGAAACTCCAATTCAAGATGACGATTTTAATCAATTGTTTAACGAGGTCAATTTAATTGATCAAGTTACTTTATCAGCCAAAGAAACCAAGAATATAGTAATTTCATATAGACCTTTCGATCAAATGTTAACAACAAGTACAATTAATGCTCAAAAGGATAAAGATAATAAAGATAATAAAGAAAGTAAAGATAAAGATGGTGTTAGTAGTAGCAATAATAGTGGTAATGTTAGTAATAATGACGGTAATAAAGAAAAGGAAAATAAAGATAAGGATAGCAGTATAGATAAAGATGGTTCAAATATTAATGGTAGTAGTGGTAATTCAAATCTTAATACAAGTGATAATATTAAACAGGATAGCGAATCTTCAGCATCAAACAAGGGTGGCGAAATCGATGAAATTGTAAGAACCGATTCAGATCGTTATAATTATTTCGAAGTTAAAGGTAAAATCACGTTTCATATTGAACCAATATTACCAACAGATTCTATCGGTAGTGTACCAGAGTTGCAGCCATCACAAAAAGAATTGGTTATAGATGTTTTAATTAGAATTTGTAAATCAGTTTTAAAAGTTGACTCGAATGAATTGATTTTTGATGACTGTATTGTTGGCCAAACCTATGTAAAAGATATTACACTTTGGAATAAGTGTGAAATGCCGCTTCGTTTTAGCACTTATTATAAAGAGAAATTTTTAAATTATTTTACATTCACTGATTATACTACTGGTTTGCCCTTGTCCTCAGAGAACCGAATTGTACAAAGTTATTCATCAATGTCAATTAGGATAACTTATCAACCCACTTCAATTGGCCAATTTACCTATAAATTTAAAATTGAAAATAAAAATGATTCAAATAATTATGAGATCGTTATTATACACTCATCAGTCACAGCCGAGCAACAAATCGTAAGTAGCAAAAAGCTAATAGGAAGAAAATAAAATAAATTCAATACTAATATTTTATTATAATAATCATAATAGGAATTACTACAAATTTCAAATAATAATATTGATTTGGGTGATTGTTATACAGATGTTTCAAGATTTCAAACATTTACAATTAAAAATATATCAGAAGAATCAATTGATGTTAATTTCAGTAGTGATTTATTGGATGATGAGGTTACTTTTCATTTTCATGAAGAGGAGGGTGATAAGGTTACAGACTCGAATAGATCATTATTAATTGGGGAGCATCGTTCAAGCGATTTACCCGAAGAGTTAAAATTAAATAGTGTTGTTTCTAACCATAACGGTAATATTTCATTGGCCCATAATCATGGTGTTGTAGATATTAAAAAAGAGCAGATTGAAGAGCTTACTATTAATCCTGGTGCTGAAAGAATTATTCGAGTTCGTTATTGTCCTAAATCTTTATTCCCACAACTTGATGCCAGATCTCACCGTTTAACTCCAAAGAATTTTAGAATTCTCCTTCGTTATGGAAAATCGTTAATGAAGTCAAATCAAAAAAATAAAACCATCAAAGTTGCTTCAAGAGTTTGTGCATCTGTAGTTAAAATTCCATCTGAAATTAATTTAGGTGATTGCACAGTAGGTACAACAAAATCTACAACTATACAATTGGTAAATCTTTCAGATTTAATGGCATCAATGCAGTTGCGTTTCCAATCAAAGGTTATATCATTTAAGAATCAAACATTTACAATTCCTCCAAAACAATCATATGACCTACAAATAGATTTCCTTCCACGTAAAAATAATCCAGACTATCGTAAACAAATCACTTTTGTAAATTTAAAGAACCCAAATAATGATCAACAATTTTTAGAAGTCCGTGCAAATAATATCGACGAGCATTCTGTATCTGTTCATTCTAAATTTTATCATTTAGAAACTCCATATAGTAGAAATTATATTGATTTTGACGAAACCATAGTAAATTGCCCATCAGTGCGTTCATTTAGTATCAAGAATGTCAGTAAAGGTACATTAACTCTTAATCTATCAACATCTCTCCCCGAGGAGGTTAGGTTATATTGTGAAGAAAAAGAAGTAGGTCTTTTATTATCAAACCAAACTACAAGTAGTAAGCAAAATCTCCAAGAGTATATTTCAAAATTCTTTGAAGGTAAAGATCATATGGATAAATCAAAGGTTAATAATAGCCAATATTTAGATTTGGCTTTACCAAAATCTGGTAAGCAATCATCTTCATCAACAGATAAATCATCACCATCACAACAATCACCCCACCAACCTTCTCAGTCTTCTGATCAAAAAGAACAAAGTACTAAACAACAACAACAAGAGAAAAAGAAAAAACTAACAAATAGCAATGATCAAAGTAATCCAAGCTCTAGAACCAACTCACGGGCATCATCACCATCATTTGATTCATCAAATAACAGTAGTAATATACCAACTGGTACAGGTTCTACCAGTATTCCATCTTCAATCAAAGAGGAGGATATTATGGATGATGAGCCATTAAATCTAACCACACCAACAATAATTAATACACAAAAGCAACAACAACAATCAACTCTAACCAATGTAAATAGTAGTTTCTTATCATCAGCAGATTTGTACCAATTTATCCAAACATTTGAGGATAATAACCCACCTTTATTTACAGATTTAGAAAGTGAAAATAATTATATTATTTCACAGATTGAAAGATTAAAAAAATTAGAATCAATTATCCAATCAGGTCAATTAAAAAGGGTTAAAACAGTTGAAATTACTCAACAATCTGAGGTTACAATTTTTATTGTTTCAATAGTTAATGATTTAAAGAGACCTTGGTTAGGTGGTAAATTAAAAAATATGGAAGCCAAGTTATTTATCTCACTTGAAAGTTTAAATGGTGTTACAATTAATGACTCACCAATCAGAGAGTTAAATGTAAGTCACTATACAAATAATCCTATTTGAAAATTTAAAATATAATTATTAAATATTTTTTTTTTTTTTTTTTCTTTAGATTGGCACTAAAATTTGTAAATCAATTATGGACTTGGCTCAAAGAAATATTAATTTTGGAAATATTATTCAATATGATTACCGTACAAAGTCTTTAGTTATTAATAATTTATCACAAGTTCCATTAATTTATAGAATTAAGAAATCTGGTTCAATTACTAGTGGCAATTTAAATATTGAAAATAATGATCGTATGGGTATCGTTAGACCATATCGTAAGAGAGAGGTACCATTCGTATTCAAGCCAACATTTAGCGGGGTTTTCGATGAAAAGTTAATAATTGAAAATGTTTATGACAATGCAAATAATCAGACAGTTCATATCAAAGCAAATGTAAAGAAACCAAGACATTTCTTTTTAAATACACTAGATATTGACTTTGGGGTTTGCATGATCAAGGGTAAATCAATGACCAAGCGTATTACTTTAACAAACACAAGTAGTCAACGCCGTATATTCAAGATTATTGATGATTCACCATCATCCTTTGAATCTTGTATAAATAAAATTTACTTTAAATTAGAAGAGAAATCAGCCTTCAGTATTTCAAAAGAAACCGAAATGGAAATCGATTTGTTAGAAAGAAAATTAAAGATTTGTCGTCGTAAGGGTCAACATGAAAAAGCTTTAAAGATAAATATGCAAATTGAAAAATTGCGTAATTCAGGATCTGTTACACCCAACCCAGTTAGTAGAGCAACATCTCCAACTCAAATTGATGAAATTAATGAAGCATCATCAGGTGCTAATAAAAATGAAGAAAATAAAGTTTCAGATTCAAGCAATACTTCAGCAACAGATACAGCAACTGCCAATACATTAAGTGATAATACTGAAAGTGTAGAGTCACAAGCTATAGTACCAGAAAAAAAACAATTTTGTAAGCTTGGTGATAATTCAATTACATTTGATATTGAAGGAGGAGGTATTCAAAATGTTCTAGTTTATTTCTCACCAATACCAAAGCCAGGAAAAAGACAATGGTATGGAAAAGAAGAGGGAAATGGATCAATTTTGGTTTATGAATCTAAAAATATTGATGTCACCAAAAAGATAAATTATATTGCTACCGTTTGCTTTGATGAAGAAACTTATCGTCAAAACATTACATCAAATATGGGTGATGGTTATAACCTGCCAACTTTCTCACCGTTCAAATCTCAATATAATTTCAATCCAATTAGCTCAAGATTTAGTCCATCCTCACCACCACCCCCACCACAATCACCAAGCTTTAGCAATAATATTCTATCTAGTACAACCTCAATTCTTAAGCCTACACCAACTAAATCTTTAACAACACCAGCAAATTTAACAATTCTTTCAATTACTCCAGGTAAAATTGATTTGGGTGAAATTAGAATATATGAAGATATTTCATTTAGATTCACAATAGTTAATCATACTGGTCATAAAGTACCATTCGAAATATTAGTTAAGCAGCCAAATAAACCGGCAACAACAGCAAATACAATGACCACTACGGCAACAACAAACCCATCAACAATAGCAGCAGCAACAATAACATCTAATAATAGTGGTTTGATATTATCACCTCCACCATCTAGAGCCATCAAAAACTCTTTAGTTATTAAGGATAGGTCTGGTATTATTGAGCCATATGGTAAAAAATCAATTGAAGTTATTTGCCAACCCCAAATTCCAGGTAAACAAACTCATACAATAGTTGTATCTAGTACTCAATTCAATTTCGAAAGTAATTTACTTGTTAGTTTAAGTCCAAGACCACCACAATACGTAATGTTCCCAGATTTACCAAGCAGTAGCCAAATTTTAGATTTTGGTAATTGTTATTATGACAAATCTCAAAAGTTCGCAAAAGTTTTACCATTCCGTTTAGATAATCTTTCACATAAATCTTTATACATTTCATTAAAATCAAATCTTACTCAACAAGTATTTGTATTTATCGACGAAAAATATTCAAAACCTGCAGATAATTTGTATTTAAGTGGCTACCAAAAGACAGTTGTTCACATTTGTTTAAAACCCAGTATGACATCAGAGAATTATGTTGATGGCCATTGCAGGGAATTGATTGGTGGTATTAGAATCAAAGTTCACGATAGCGATCATAACTTGCTTTATGAGAATACTATCAAGTTTACATCAATTGTTGGTAAGAGTATTTTAAGGGTACCAAAGAATCTTATCGATTTAGGTTCAACCAGAAAACTTGGTGAAACTATTTCAAGTAGCTTTACAATATCAAATCTTTCAACCCTATTGCCATTAAACTATCAAATTACCCATAGTAAAAATCTAAAGTTAAATAAACTCGAAGGTAATCTTGAGGGTAGTGAGGTTAACCATGCATTATCAAGAGAAAAAATTCATTTTTCACTAGTCGCTTCCATTTTTGGTCTTTACGAAGAAAGAATTGTAATTAATAATCTCAATTGTTCTGGTCAAAAAGTGGAAATCAATGTACGTCTTTTAGTTGATGATGAATCATTAACTACTAATTTACCAATCAACGTTAATGGGGGCGGTGATATGCTCCGTTTCGACGATATTTATGTTAGTCCCGTATCATGGAATGAAAAGATTGCTGCAGGTGATCGTAGGTTATTATCATTTATTATCACTCCACAACAATTTAATTCAGATAACAATTGTTTAAATACTAGCGATCAACTTTATCAAATGAAACAATTCACTATGAGAAATTACCTCAAATATGATATTCGTATTTATCCAAAATCAAATACCAATATCTATTTATTCTTCCATGACCCAACCAAAGAGGATTTACAAACTATGAAGTCCCAATCAAATGACCGTAGAAAATCAATGAGACTTTGTGGTAAACCATTTGTTATGTCCAGTGAGCAAAAAGTAATTGCCTACCCCCATCCTCCAGAACCAGATTCAGTTATTTCAACAAAACAAAAACTTATGCTTTGTAAAGGTCGTAAAGTTAAATTCCAAGGTACATTGGTATTTGAAAGATCAGATTCAACTCATTACCCAATTGCTCCAGGTGAAGGTAAAACTCACATTTCAAAATTAGTCAGCATTACTGGTAGTTATTGTATGTCTATGGGCGAAATTTTAGGTGAAACCAATATAGATATTGGTAGAGTTGGTTATGAAAACTTTTGGAAAGAGGTATTTATTACTACAGAAATAAGAAACCTTTCAGAGATTCCATTAATTATTCGTGTTAGTAGTTTACCATCAAAAGCATTAAGAATTTTATTAAATCATCAACAGATAAATAACTCTACCTCATCACTAACCTCTCCAGCATCCTCATCAAATAGAATTTTACCAAGAATTAAATCAAGTAGTGGTGGTGATAGTAATGATCAACAGCAATATCAAATTGTTCAGTCTTCTGAAGATGAGGATAATATTGTAATTGAAATTCAAATTCCATCATCAGAGTCGAAACAAATAATAATTGGTTTGGATCCAACTAAAATTGAGCAAACTGTACCAGGACCAATTCAATATCAAATTCAATTTGAAAATGTTATGAACGAGTTTAATACATTACCATTAAATATCCAATTGTATCATACATTTAGAGTATTAAATTTTGGTCGTTTAGTTGATAATAGTGATATAGTACTCCCAACCATTTATCATCCACCTCTCATTGGTGCCTCATCACAATCTGATGAATGGTTTACTATTGAAAACACTTCAAACAAACCATTAAAGATAAATACAGAAGTTGAATTGCTTCCACAGTTTGAAGAATTAATTCAAGTCGAATTGGTACATAAAACATCAAATACACCAATTCCAAGTTTCTCATTACGTCCATTGGAGTTGATCGAAGTTAGAATTCGTGCTCGTCCACGTCCAGATTCAAGATTAAAAGAGAAATATGAAGAAATTACAACATTTGGCAAAATTACCATCAATACCAACCAATATCCAATTGAGGTTATTCAACTTAAAGGTATTGTTTTACCAGGTCAAAACTTTTCATTATCATTAAACCGTTTAAATTTCAATGTTATCTCTAGAATCACAAACAAAGAAGGTGAAGAGCAGTCATTACAAACTTCACTCTCTGATTACTTTAAAGTTAAGAATACAAGTACTTTTTATCCATTACGTTTCAAAGTTGAACCAGTTTTCCCACAAAACTCATTATTACCAGCAGACTGTGTCAAATTAGATCCAGAAGAAGGCGAAGTTCCTCCAAATGATGTATTGAATGTTAATGTTAATATCAATCTTTCAAATATTGAAGATATTCCACCCTCATCTTCATTTGCTGTTATTGTTACTGCTTTAGACACTTTTAACAACGAGTCTCAAAAAGTTAATATTAATATTATTGGAAACTATAAACCTGTTACCAGCTCACCAATTACACCAACTACCTCTGCTGCTTCAGCAACTACTAACACTGGAGCAACATCCACCTCTGGACCAAGTTCAAATATTAATACACCAACCTCAACATCATCGATATCAACACCAATTTCAATTAGCTCCATTGTCCCAAATACATCTTTGCAATTGATTAATAATGAAAATCCAATTTCATCACCAGCAGCAACAACATTAATAGGTAGTAGTGGAAGTTCTGCTACTCCATTAAATATTACACAGTCTAATCAATTGTTTTTGTCAAATGCAAATGTCTCTAATCCATCAAATCAATTAGCCACCACCACAGGTGTTGAACAACAACCACTATCAACAGGGTCAATTATACAAATTAACAAATTACCAAAATTGTCTTTAAGAGGTTGTACACCTATTGCAAGATTAAAGAATTGCTATGAAATTCATCTTAGTCAACAAGAATTCTCATCTGGTTCGCTACCATGGGAGTTAACTTTGGAAAATCTTTCAAACAAACCAGTTGAGTACTCAATCTATTCAATGAAAGAAAATGATCACACATGGCTTAACCTTTCTAGAAATAGTGGTAAGATTGAGCCACATGGTCGTCATATCATTACAGCAACATTCTCCACAAAACGTATTGATATGTATTCAACCTATTTAATCATCGAAAATCGTAATAATCCAGCAGACATTAAGACAATTCAAATTACTTTTGATGTTGTAGTTAAACAAAATAGTCACTTTAGTGTTTTGGTCGAAGGAAAACAGAACCCAACCCCATCCATTAACTTGGGCGATGTTTACTATAACATTACGTATACTGATCGTTCATTTATCGTATCAAACTCATCATCTATGCCATTGGATTTCATGTTAAGCACAAGTTTACCACCAAGCGATCCAACTGAAGTTTGTTTCTCACTCTCAAGATCATATTTACGTCAGTTTAATACCCTTTACGTAGAACCAAATAGTCAAGTCAAAGTGTTCCTTTATTTCCACTGCCCATCACCACAAAACACTAGTGCAAACCCATTATCATTATCCACCAATAATACTACAACCAAAGAAATTAAAATCTTTTTAAATTGTCGTTTAATTCGTGATTATCAACAAGTTATTAATCTTACCGCAGCATGTAAATACCCACAAATTAAATTATCTGACCTCAATATAGTTTTTAAGGGTAAAATTTCATTGGCTAAAGATGAAAAAGAAAAACAATTACAATCAAACTCATCATCACCAGAAAATACTTCAATTAATACCTCTGATGATAACAGTTTGGTTAAAAAAGAGAAAGCTGAAATAAAGAAATCAAATGACTCAAGTAGCACTACAACAACTAGCTCAACTACAACCAATACAACCACCTCTAGCAAATCTAGTAGCTCAGCACAACAAGGCAAAAAGGTTAATATAGAGTTTGATGATTTTTCATCTTCAAATGAGGAATTGGTTAAAGAAGTTATAATTTATAATAATTTCAATAGTGAACTTTCGATTGCAGTTAAAGCCAATACTATTTTCTTCATTATCGACCCTCCAAGTAATGGTATTATTTCTGTTGACCCCTTATCAAGCAGTTGCCTAACAGTTCGTCCAAATATCCCTGCTATTCTTGAGCATTCAAATCTTTTATTAAAAGAGAAATATTTAGAAGAGCATATTATTCTTTACAATAAGAATTGTTTATCTGAAAAATATGTCGTATCTTTACGTATTACTACTGGTCAACTAACTTCATTTTCAGCAAGCTCTGGACTCAAGGGTGGTTATCATTATAGATCTCTTGAACAACTAATTACCAAGTTTATTCGTAAATTTAAGAAATTCTGGTATTCACTTTATTTATACTGTAGTATACAACAACAGCAATTACAGCAACAACAACTTCAACTACAACAACAGCAACTACAGCAATTACAACAAGAACAAGATAAAGGTTTAAATTCATCTCAGAATTCTTTATTAATGAAATCATCATCATTGTTATCGATCATTACCAACTCTGATTCAAATTGGGAAACAACACCAACAAATACTACACCAACCTCAACACCAACTTCATCCTCTGCAAATATTGCTCCAACCTCAACCAATGCCAGCAGCAACACAACAGCAATCTCATCAACAACCTCATCGCCCAGCCCACCAGTATCAACATCAAGCTCCTCAACACCATCATCATCATCAATTTTTGGGTCAAACAAATTAACAAATGAAGAATTAAAAGAATTATTGAACATCTTTGACATCCTAGAAAATGATGATAATCACGGTAATACCAATAACAACAATAATAACGACGAACATCAACAATCAGTTTTCCATGAATCTTACCAAAAACTGTTATTTGATCTTCATCATATCACAAATGAATTGGTATTATATGGTTTAAAAAAACAGGTTGGTCAATTACCATCACAACTAGCAACTCTTTTTTATTTGAACCTGTTTAAACATGGTGTTTTCAAAGTAATTCTAAAGATGAAAAGACAACTTTCAAAGTCCTCTGCCTTAGAGCCACATCTCCATATTTTGAATGCCTCGGTCGAAAGTTTAAATGAATTCCTTTGCTATTTCCCCGAAAAAAGAGATGACCTTCAATCATTACGTAATTTACAATCTGAAGTTACAAAAGCTGTTCAACAATCTTCACAAACAAACCTATCATCTTCATCTTCAAATATACAAACTAAAGAAAGTAATGAATAAAAAAAAAAACCATGCATAAATAAAAAAAATATTATAACAAAGCTTTTTTATAGTTTTAATTTTAATTTATTTGGATTAATAATATTACTAAAATTAATCATTCATATAAGGTTTTATTACTATACTTCCTTGTCATTTATTCAATTCGGTTGGATCTTTTAATAATAAAGTTACATTTGAAATTTGGTTTTTTGTAATTGAATTTGAGTGATTCTTTTCATCTTTGTTGTTCGAGTTTTTAATTATTATTGCATATTGATAACCAAATTTTTTTATTTAAAATTGTTTTTTAAAATTATTAAATATTTTATATATGGTATTAATAAAAATAATTGTTTTTTTTGATTACCCATTATTTTTTAAATAAATATATTTCTTAAATACTTTTTTATATTTTTATTTTATTTTATTAGTTTTTGTAGTTGTTTGGTTTTGTTGCTGTCGCTGAATTTGAATAAACCTGATTCTTAGTAGCCTAATATTAACTAAATTGTTGTTAATGTTTAAAGTTTCAAGTGATAGAGGAAAACAAATATATGGTAAAGTTTTATTGATATCATTATATAATGAACTTGGTGGAAATACTTTGTGAAATCTAAGGCCTAATGTGAGTGTTATGAGATTATTTGGTAATAAGCCTGGTGTAATTTCTTGGTCAAAATCACGGCCAAATGTGAGTGTTATGAGATTATTTGGTAATGAGCCTGGTGTAACTACTTGGTTAAAATCACGACCAAATGTGAGTGTTGTGAGACTATTTGGCAATGATCCGGGTTGAACTACTTTGTTAAAATTACAACCAAATGTGAGTGTTGTGAGACTATTTGGTAATGTGCCGGGTAGAACCACTTGGTTAAAACTATAACCGAATGTGAGTGTTGTGAGACCATTTGGTAATGAGCCTGGTGGAATTACTTTGTTAAAATCAAAACCAAATGTGAGTGTTGTGAGATTATTTGGTAATGTGTCGGGTAGAATTACTTGGTTAAAATCATAATCGATTGTGAGTGCCAAGAGACAACTTGGTAATGAGCTTAGTGGAAATACTTGTTTAAATCTAGACCAAAATGTGAGTGTTGTGAGATTATTTGGTAATGAGCCGGGTTGAAATACTTGGTTTAATATATAACCTAATGTGAGTGTTGTGAGACTATTTGGTAATGAACCAGGTTGAATTACTTGGTTAAAATCAAAACCAAATATGAGTGTTGTGAGACTATTTGGTAATGTGCCGGGTAGAATTTCCTTGTCAAAATTATTACCGAATGTGAGTGTTGTGAGATTATTTGGTAATGAACTAGGTTGAATTACTTGGTTAAAATCAAAACCAAATGTGAGTGTTGTGAGACTATTTGGTAATGTGCCGGGTAGAATTACTTTGTTAAAATTATAACCAAATGTGAGTGTTGTGAGATTATTTGGTAATGAGCCTGGTGTAACTACTTTGTTAAACGTTTCTCCGAATGTGAGTGTTGTAATACTATTTGGTAATGAACTGGGTTGAATTTCTTTGTTAAACATATAACCAAATGTGAGTGTTGTGAGACTATTTGGTAATGAGTCAAGTGGAACCACTTGGTTAAAACTATAACCGAATGTGAGTGTTGTGAGACTATTTGGTAATGAGCCAGGTGGAACTAATTGGTTAAAATTATAACCGAGTTCGAGTGTAGTAATTGTATTTGGTAAAGTTGTTGGAGATGGTAATATTTTAGAAAAATTGTTCAAATGAAGACATGTCAAAAATGGTGGAAATTCATTTTTATTTGGTGGTAGATCAATACTCCACTTAAGTGATGTTAAATATGATCTCCCTTTAAAATGGTAAAATTGGAATATATTATCAACATTTCCAACACTATATAAAATAAACAATAAAATATGTTTATGAATTTCATTTCTTAAAACTATATTATTCCAAACTTTATAAAATAATCTATAATAAATAGTTAAAGAGAAAAAACCAATTAATATGCATTTAATCTATTATTTATATTTATTGTATTGCACTTACTCATCACTCTTATTACCATTATTTTTTAACTCTTCTTTAACGCTTGAGTAAATAAGGCATAATAGTAGATCTTTTTTTTTATCCATCATTAATAAAAAAAAATATAAAAAAAAAAATATATATTAAAAAAAAAAAAATTAAAATATAAATTTTTATATTTAAAATTTTTTAATTTTGAAATATAAAAATTTATAAAAAAATTTTTTTTTTGAAATTTTTTTGAATAATTAACATTTATTTACATTCCCCATATTAAAATTTTTTTTTTTTTTTTTTGTCAAAATTTTTAAATGGCATGTTTTGATCCAATTGAATAATATAAAAAAATATTTTTTTATAAATAATAAATAAATTATTAAATAATCTAAAATATCTGATAAAAAAAACAAAATGAATAAAATTATTATTTAAATTAATATTTATTATAGTTTTTCATTTAAAATTTCTTCATCTTCTTGCTTAGTACCAAATTCATTTCTTTCAACTTCAAAACCTTCAACAGTAATGTTTTGAGCATGGCATAATCTGAAAACTTTTAATGATGATGGTAAATCTTCAGCTTTGAATGTTTGGGTTAAAGTTTTTAAGAAACAGAAATCTAAGATTCTAATAGATTGTGGTAAATCTTTTAATTGGTGGGTAAATTCATTAGCAATAGTTAATTTGACTAATGTACTTGGTAAAATATCAGTAAGATCTTGATCGAAACCTTGAGCAAATTTGACAATCTTGAGACCTTCTGGAAGACTTCCTGGGATGAGTGGGGTTTTGCTGTGATTAGTACGACCTTCAGAGGTAAAATCGATGTATTTACATGTTGATGGAATATCACCTGGTAAGATTTGGGTAGTGAATTGGTAACCAAGTGAAATATATTCAATACCTCTTGGGAGAATAGATAATGATTGATTAAATTCACCGCTAGCAATGAATTTTTTTAAACCAGCTGGGAAAAATTCTTTGGTGACTAAGTTTCCTTCTGGAACAGATTCCATTGAGAGCTCTTTGAGGCCAGATGGAAGGCAATCTTGGGTAAATTTACCCCAGACTGGGAAACTTAACTTTTCAAGACTTTGTGGAAAAGTAGTTGAATCAATTGCTTGTTCTCCAAAATTTCTACCGCAATCTAAAACTTTTAAATTTGGGTGGTTTTTAAAAATATTGTGGCTGAAAAGACCAGACATTAATTCGAAATATACTTCAGTAATTTGGTCTGGAATTTTGAAATCTTCACCAAAGTCGCCTTTAAAACCTGGAACTAAAGTATCTTCTTGAACAAGTCCCTCAATAACATTTTCGATATTTAAATCTTCTGAAAGTGGGTTATCACTGAATTTAAGTATATTAATATTTGGTGCTAAGTTTTTTAAGGCTTCTAATTGACTTAAACCATTTGCAGTTCCATCAACAAAAATTTCTAATACATTTGACATCTTTTAAGTTTTATTTAATAAAAATATTTTTATATTTATATCTCCCCAAAATATAAAAAAAAAAAAAAATGAAGCTAAAAAAAAAATTTATAAAAAAATAAAGGGAAAATATTATAAAAAAAAAGAGGAACATGTCATTTCCCAGGGTTTTTTTTTTTTTTCCAACCATAGTTTATGAATTCAATTGGGAAATTTTATTTCGAAAAAATGATATTTCGACCTTTAAAAAAACTTGATTTTTTTTTTTTTT